CAGAAGAGAGAAGACTTGGCAGCCATGCCGAGGCAACGGCAGAGAAAAGCACGGAATATGTGATGACAAAAAGTTCTTGCGGCAAAGTAGTTTTCTTCCTTTTGAAATATCCGGCAAGAGTTCTCGGTTCTGCCATGACTTCTAACTTTCCCGGGTGGGGCGCTATCACTATGATCAGAAAAAGCGGTTAATGCAGCCATGTTTTCTTCTGATCGAGAAGGGGTTCTATCTTATAATTCCCCCGGTTCGCAAACCTGTCCCAATTCCTTTGTCGGTTTTTTGATGCAACCTCCCCCCTCCTCTGCAACATTGAATGACGGCCTTAGAAACCCAGACTCTCGCCGTGTCTTCTGGGGGGGCTGGGAGAGCCTACCGGTATCTGTATGGTGCGGGATATCTTTTGGGGCGCATGTGCAGAACAAAAGAGAAAGCATTATAACTCTAATTGGTCAGCTCGCCCGGAAGACCTGAATACACCAATGCTCTGAGGGACAAAATCGTAACGCTAAAATCGAAATGGCCTGGCTGAACTACAAGTTTCCTTTAACCGGAAGCAAAGGGCAGAAAGCAAACTTGAATAATATCATACTACCAATGTAGTTCCCCACACTACTACCATCATGTCAACTAATATCAACTCTAAAGGACACCTCTAATTATTGACTGCAAAATTTGGATCCCGGGCCAACCTTTGATGACCAGTTATATATTCAAGATAGTCTCAGATTCTTGGTTGAGGGCTCATTTCTGACTAAATTTGTCCTGGTAGTTATGGTAGCTTAAAGCGGACTTTTTATCTGTGGTAAATAATGACAGAAAGTTCATGTCATGATACTTGTATCTTTTATTTTAATCTTGATTTTCTTCAATTATATTGCTCAATCTTCTCCCATGCTTGCCAAGAACAGTCTTGGCACTACCGACACCCTTGCAACCTGAGCATTACAAACGAATCCTGCCAGGTTCACCCAGGCCCTCGCCCGCAAATCGGCAAGGGACTGGGTTTCCGAGCCAACAGCGGGCATGATGAATACCGGAGGGTGAACAGGGAGGGATCAGTAGCAGCTGGTTTTTTTTTTCCTCGTTACCCTACTTTGACGAATCAGCTCCCTGCCCGCTTAATATCCCTGTTAGTCAGCCGCCGGTATTCAGCCCCGGTTGAAGACAATAATGGATATGCATATCATATTCCATATCTATGTGCCATATGAGAACAGCACTAACCCAACTCCTCACTCAATAATGAGAACTCTACAGAGGTGAGCTTCTGAACCCTCCTCTAAATTGAGAATATATGGCGAAGAACCTTTAGCCCGACCAGGCGGGAATCCATACCGACTGAGTGCTTGTGCGAAAGCCAAGTTATGGCGCAACGGGCCTTGGATTTTGCTGCGCTTTTCCGTTGATGTGCACCATAACTTAATTTACGCCCAGGTAATAGTGCCTTGAAATTCCAGGCATGGTCTCATAGAGGTTAATTCCTAGGCAACCCCAGCATTATAACAAGTTAGAATACTAACGTAAAGTATACCAGGTTATCACTTTCTGTTACACTCTTTACATAAGGTATCATATCGACCAAATTTCAACATGTGTAAGACTCCAAGACTTAAGTTGTCACAGTTAGCTAAGGCTTCTATTGAGGAGATATTTCGAAATAGATATCTTAATTTATGCGAGACTCTTCACTCACGTATTCGCTCCCGTCAGGTGTGTAGGTACCTTGATCGTTTGAACTCCGTTGAGGATTTATAGCCTGTAGCCCTTAGATCCGTTATGACAATCAGGAATACCGCTTGATTTATTCCATGGTGATCCCTTCATGATAGTAAGATATCCGATACCCCGAGCATGGCTTTATATCCTCAAAGGTGAGTATTCGCTGTGGTGCGTTTGACTTTATAAAAATTTAATATCTAATTAATCGCAGTGTCTACTCACTCCACCCCGGCTATCAACTATTCCCTCCGGAACCGATTTCGTGGAGCTGTTCGATTACTAATATTATGTATCCTATTTAATTCTTTCACAAATATTTTATTTCCTATCGATCTTATAACCTCCGGTGTGACTGTCAACTTAGGCAAATACTCCAATAGAGAGCTCCACTTCTAGGAGGGACCCAAGAGTGTCATGGTAATCACCGATTGCATGGGTAGCCTTACCACAATTCTCTTTTTTGGTGCAACAGCAAGCGAAACACCATCTTTCGGTAGCGTCGAGTTCCCCAGCATAGTCCACTTCTACTTGGTCATTATACCTACTTGCCAAAAGAGTTTGTTGACAATATGTCTTTCAAGCGTGTATACCCTCCTACACTACTGGCAACCATGGCCTCAAGGTGAGATGGAACACAACAAACTCAACAGGAATGTGAACTTGGACACTAAAATAAAGGTGGCGAATAATAGTAGTCTCCGGCGGGAACCTATAACCTAGGGGAGACGAAAGAAAGAGCAAATGGATGAAGCGGTCGGGGTGTAGTCCAAGCACAACTGAACGCGAGATGTTGATGAACTAGACGATCAATAGAGACGCTAGCTAAGGACAGCACCAAGGATGTATATATCTCCGTCAACGGTCAATATCTCCGAGAACTAATAGAGGGCCCCGTGAACTAAAACAGTTGAACGGGGCACTTCCGACAATGTAAAAAAAATCTGCGGAAAAACCAACAAACCAAGTGAATAATCCATTGTCACACCGGAGGCTCTTTGGCCACCACAATAATGCCAATGCCCGTTGCCGAATGACATACTACCAAACAATAAACTGAAGCAACCACCACAAACCTGATCCCCCATGGCAATGGATCCCAAAGAAACAAGGCCAACACCCAATCATATGCCTCCCAGAGCATGATGTGGAAACAGCAATCTACCATTGTATTCCTAATAACCGCACATGTCAAACTCAGGCGCCCTATACCTTCATGCCCTAATCGCATGCCCTACCAGCAACCCGGCATATTCAACCACAATACAGACAAACATTCATAACTGGACCCCGGAGAAAATTGCCTCTCGCCGGGGGCCAAACTCTGGTGAAGTTGCCGAAGCAGCACCAGCTCCCGTCACATCTGTATCCACTACCTGAATAACATAAACCATAGAGCGTAATTTTTCTCCTCAGCTAGTTCTGGCTTTGTCTAAAACTAACCAAGCCCCCTCGTATTGCCAGCCGGCCTTAGCCATTCGGAGCATTGAAGGAGGTATTCGTACTCGCCACGATACCTCAAAATTCTGCTAAATGCGCAGTCTGTCCACGCTTTCCTCCAAACTCTCCTTTGGAACTAACTCCTTTTGTTCGGGATATTAGAGGGGTGTCATAGTTGAGGTTGTGCTTACCCCACAATTGGTTGCACCGCTACCGATCGATTGTGCCAAAGGACTAACTTATCCCCGCACTTATCTGTAATCAGCCCTTATCGAACTTCACCCTGAACCGCTGCAAATCGTACAAGAACCAACCCTAGTAAATAGGTGGTAAAACCACAAGATCATCGAAAAAACACATGCCAAACCGGCCAAATTCACCCTGGGTACGGTCCTGGGTCCGGCGGGATCTCCGGCTAAGCTCCGCGAATAAATATGATAAATACGGGGAACGGTACGCCATTGCAATGGAGATGGGCCGACTCGGTGCGCGGTTAGCGGCTCCCATTTTGACGAGCCAACTCAAAGAAGTAGATACCGGGTCTGATCTGGTCAGTTGCTGATATAGTTTTAGGTGTGACAACCTACGCAGTTCTCTCCGGTGTGGGGAAAAAAAATGAGTACAGTACTCGAGTAGCAGTTGAGAGCGTAGGTTTTGGGAAGCCTACCTTACTCTTCGCATATTGTGATAAGTTTACACTTGTATGGATAAATTTTCCAGGATCGAGAGCGAAGCATGCACGCCGGAATGAAAGTTCATCCCAATAAGTAAAATTGCCAAGCCCGCTGCACGTCGCATGGCAACCCCCGGCCTAATTCCAACTGGTAAGAGATTCTCAGTTCATGTTCTGCATACCCAGCTGCTCTGATATGGTGCTGTTCAGTGGTGTACTGCACCTGCCTTTGATTGCACTCTATTACTCGAGTATACTCACTAGATCTTAACTTCTAGCACCACTCCCTGTATCTCAGTTCTAAATACCAGAGCAAAGGATAGCCAAAAGATCCATTTACCAAAGAAGTCAATTTACTTTGCGGGTAGAGGACTTCCAACCCTACCATCCAAAGTTAATTATTGTGGGTGCCGACGCTCGTATGTTATCGTACTTACCATCCTCTTCCCAGGTGTGTTGCAAGGAATCCAGCGAATATTTCCAAGCCCCCACAACTAACCATTGTTTTGGGAATATGGGCAACCTTCCTATGGTAGTCACCGGATAGCACAAGAACACACTCCTCGTAGCACTTAATCAAAGTTAGAGAAGCGAGGGATTCAAAAGTGAGGCCAATGGTGCTCAGAGAATTTTTACCGCCTCTCCCCTGTTCATTCACCCCGCCCTGCGACTGGGGTTTCTTTTAGCTGAGGGGTTGTGTTGGGCGTGGAGATTGCGTGCGGTTAAAAGCCTTCAACTAGCCTCATTCGCATGCCCCGGAGAATGAAAAGATACCTCATTCTCGGTCACGAAACCACCATACCGGTACCGGGGTATTTCTAAAGGAGAAGAAAAAGAAACATGGATTGATCATGAGCAATCGAGGTCGCTCAGTTCATCTCCATTCAGGAGCCCCCCTCCCCCCGGGCACCCCGCCTCTGAGGGCCCTTTGGGGATAAGTAATCGAAGGGCCGTTGGTTTCACACTCTGGGTAGGCGACATGTGCTTCCGTGTGTGATACTTCGCTACTTATCGGTAATACCCATGAGCCCGAAAGTATACTAGGGTTTGGTGCCGGGGAAAACGTGTGAGATGTGACACGACAGTACCATCAGCCTGTTACTGAATATTTGGTTATAAAGACTCGACTACCTCGCTACCGGTTCGAATGTTCCTCCTCCACCCTTTCTTGGTGTGCTCAATTCCTTTATACCCTTTGGGCTGAGAACACTCTCGATTCGAGAATAGGAGTTCGGGAGCTTCCTTGCGCAAAATATTCACTATGGGGTACCGAGTGAGGAACATCTATGCCATTTGCTCTTTCGCAGCCATTGGTGGTGGTCTTTTCGGTTTCGATATCAGTTCCATGGCTGGTATACTTGGAACCAATGCCTATAAGAATTACTTCGGTAATCCCCTGGGCGCTAGGGTAGGTTTGTTCTCTCTAGATTGTTAGTTTTATTTTATCAGCCTAACTATTACGGTTAGCAAGGAGCTATCACCAGTGCGATGCCAGCTGGTTCGCTGCTTGGTTCCCTCGTGTCTTCCTACCTCGGAGATTACTTCGGCCGTAAACAGGCCATCCAAATCGGAGGCATTATCTGGATCCTAGGATCAACGTAGGATTGCCCCAAGGAGTAATACTAGGAGGAGGTGCTAACGGAAATCACAGAATCCAAGCAGCTGCCCAAAATGTGGGCATGTTGGTAGTCGGCCGTATTATCTCTGGAATTTGTGTCGGTATAACTTCTACGATTGTCCCCGTCTACCAATCCGAGCTTGCACCCAAAGAAGTTCGTGGTCGAATGGTCTCCCTTCAACAATGGGCTATCACCTGGGTATACCCTCTCGGTCCCCTCAAGTTCCCAAAAATGTATATCTAACTTCACTTTGAAGGGTATTTTGATCCAATATTTCGTTCAATATGGTGCTTCCTTCTACGGAGGTGGCCCCACCAATAAGCACCAAGGCCCAGCCGCATTCCGCATCCCATGGAGTATCCAGATTATCCCCGCTGCCATCCTCGTTGGAGGCATGTTCTTCTTCCCCGAATCTCCACGTTGGTTAGCGGTTAAGGATCGGTGGGAGCAAGCTCTTCGTGTCCTGGCCGATGTCCACGGAAACGGGGACCTGAACAACCCAGTCGTTTTGGCAGAGTACCAGGAAATCGAGGACATTATCCGATTCGAACGTGAGGAGGCAATTTCATCATTTGCCGAACTTGCCAAGCCTAGGATTCTCAGGCGAGTTGTTCTTGGTATGAGTATCCAGATGTGGTCTCAACTTTGCGGCATGAACGTCATGAGTAAGCTCTCCTAGAGGATCTGCATAGAGCAGGATTTTCCTGACAGTCTAATAGTGTACTATATCGTCTACGTTATGGAGGGTGCTGGTATCGGGGACCCTCTTCTTACCGCTTCCATTCAATACATAATCAACGTTGTCATGACCGTTCCTGCTATCATCTGGATGGACAAGTGGGGTCGCCGTCCCACCCTCCTGTTCGGTTCTTTCGCCATGATGTCCTTGCTCTTGATCTCCGGTTCTATCCAAGGAGTGTATGGTCATCCCGAAACAGATCCATCCTCTGCCATCACCTGGATCATGCAAAACAAGGGGAGTCAATCCAAGGCCGTCGTCGCTTGCTCTTATCTTTTCGTCGCCACTTTCGCAATCACCTGGGGCCCCGTTTCCTGGACTATGCCTGCTGAGGTCTTCCCCAACAAGGTGCGGGCCATGGCTGTGTCCCTCTCCACCGCATCCAATTGGACCTGGAACTGTGTTTTGGCCTTCGCCGTCCCACCACTACTCAGAACCATCAATTGGAAAATGTACATGATCTTCGCTGCCTTCAACTGTGCAGCCTTCGTTCATATGTTTTTTACGGCACCTGAGACAAAGGGTGTTACATTGGAGGAGATGGACGACGTCTTCGATGTTCGTAGCTCCATTAATCGCTTCTCTTTCAATGCGTCTGTTTTTTGTTTTGTTTTGTTTTTCTGACTAATCTCCCTTCTCAAACAGAGTGGCCGCCCACCCTGGAAAACCCGGTCCCCGGTGTCCCGCCTCGACAACCTCCAGAAGGACATTGCGGCAGGAAACGTCAAAGTCGACATCGGAGCCGCCACTGGGCGCCGCACCGAGATTCACCAGGTCCCCTCCAAGGAGTAGTTTTTTTCTTGCATGTCCACGAAGGAAAGGAAATATTGTGTAGCTTCCTATTTCGCCTCGAGCGATATTAATTATTTTTCTTACAAAAAAACCTGCAGGAATGTGAATAGGTTTTGAGCGATTAATTCAAGAAGGACGGGAATGATTACACCTAGAAAGCATATTGTTTTCCTGAGAGAATTAGTACGTCACGGAAAGTCGACGGAGTGCACATCTTTCACGAGCCGACGCCATCCCGAAACTTTCCATTTTCCCGAAATTCTACCCGCGTCATTTCCAGAAGCGCGAAGAAATCGTTGAGGCTCCCTTCCACCACATTATGCAGCCCAAGCTCCCGGTTACAATCAAGGTGCACGAAAGAAGGAAAAAAAAAGATTCCGATCCCTTTACGAACCCTTTCCGGGACATCCGAACCCTTGAAAACCTCTACTATGTCTCGTCGTCTTAGTCAGCAAACAGGCATAAAGCCACTCACCCACACACACATTCCCGTTGGCTCTCCAAGTTTTTCCGTACCGTCATAGTGTTTCACAATCAACTCAAAAAATTTCTATCAAATGTTATTAATGTACCCGAGGTCCTTGGAGCATGTGAAGTAAACAGAGGCATACGGAGAGAAAGTCAATGACATGTTTCAGGGGGGGGGGTACGGACAGATCACAGAAACTCTCTACTCAAACCCCCTGATCGACGATAGCAGTGACCCACTTTCCAGAAGTGATGACTATCATCACCCACAGTCGGGAGTATAGACCTGCAGAATCAGCCAGAATTGTAAAAATGCTACCTAATTGGTATGATACTGTAGATCTTTCTCTGCCCCGAAGAATTGAGCCTCAGTGGGTTAGGGTTATAACCCTCATCACATCCAGCAGTTCAAAAAGTTGCTATGATGGACATCCTGTTTGATTCTTGGAAAATTTGGGCTTTGGGTGGATATCAGGGGCGTAGGCAGGCAAAAACAAGGAAACCTAGGCTTATCCCGAATGAGTCTGTAGAAATAGGCTTGTGTTATGGCTGCAGGGTCGGAATCCAGCGGGGCATGATAGAACACGAAATAAATTTTGAGCTTCGTTTTTGAACCGACAATGTGAGGCTAGCCTCCGGGGAGCCATTATTGCACAGTCCTGCATATCCTCCTCCTCGCTTTAGCGCGCACCACGGTTAAAGGCTCGCCAGAGGAAAGCATTCCCGCTGCGACGGGGGTGCGACCCAACACCGGATACATCTGCGGTATGACAATTCAGGAGGAATTTTTCATAATAGTGTGACGGGAAATAATCTTCTCCTGGTGTGACGGTACGGGATGCCTTGATGGGCCTTTGGGATTATAATGGGACAATTCTATTCTTCAACGAAGAAAGTGCTCCATTCTCTCCATAACATCTGCTCATCACAAAGTGTCGGTCTCTTCCAGTATCTGTACTGTCTGGCCCACTGTGCGGTTTCCAGCACAAAAAACGCCCCAATTGCATCCAGGCGCCCATTCACAAATTGCCAATGCCAACGCTCGAGTATAGTAGTGCACAAAAATACAGCACTCCATCCCCTACTATACACTCCCGAGAGAGCTGTTTATTTCCCCGCTCGGAGACGGCCAGACTCTATTAGCCATACGTGATGAACCAATCACACATGGCCACACTTGTCCGAATTTGTTCAGGTTAACTGTAAATCAAGTCCGGTTACTGGGAGCTGAGTACGAGCGGTCACTGTCATCTCCACAATACCGGGGGCTTCGGGTGTTGAAATAATAATTACCGCAACAAAATCATAATAGGATAACCCTCCTAGCTTTTTCAACCCATTGACACTTTTCCACGCCCACTAGAGAGAAACCCAGCCCCCGAGCTCACAGAAAATTTTGGCTTTGCTGTTGCTATGGTATGCAGCTAGCATCGCATTGCCGGATATGGTGGAACGCCAGCTACTCCCGGCAGGTTAGAAATACGAAGCCTCGTCTGGGGAGTTTTTTTTTTAACCGAATTGAATCGAGGGGATATAGAAGCTGCACCGTCGTTTCTGCCTCGCATTTTCTAGTCCAGCGGCGTACCCGGCTGCTCCGTCATGTCCGGAGAGCCGCCGGGCCCGGAAGCGCGATACCAATCAAGGTTCGATCGGAAAGGTTTCCAGCTCGCTACAGGTATTCCAGGTCCGGAGTTTGAGCGCTTGAAATGCAACGGGGCGACCAACCTAAAACATTGCTGCAGCTTCGCCAAGAGGACTAGCTAGTTCCGAGCCGGTTGTGTTTTCATGAGTAGCATTAGAAGAAAGAGGGGATTCGGTGCTCACGAGAGTCGTTGAGATCCAACTATCATAAATTTACTTCCCTCTTTTTATTACCACTAAGCATTGAAGAATATCCACTTGACAAAGCGACAGATAGAACAGTGGGATATTCGCCCTTAACTTCTTGTTTCCCCCCCTGAATTTCTTCTCCCCGGCGGCCCGCCCTTTGATGTCTGAGGACATACTTGTACGAGTCGATTGGAGATAATGTGATTCATCCCACACCTCACTTTGAGAATCTCAATATCTCGCACAAGGATCGGGGACCAGATGACAAAGGGTGATGTCAACTACGGGGGTACTAGATGCATCGCCGGAGTTTTTTTTCCGGTAGCTCAGGATGGTGAGGGACAAATGTGATCGGAAAGGGGACATTCATTCTGGCTCAGGGATAGTATGTTAATTTGCAAAGCGTGGCTCCATTCTAGGGTAACCCCCAGGTAGGCCGTGTGAACCCTTCAGCGAGTTGACACCCTCAGAGATGCGAGACTTGGCAGCAAAAGCTCCCCGATTTATGATATCCATAACTACAGTAGCAAGCCAAGCCATGGCCCGTCTCGCTGAGGGTTCCCTCGGTCTAAATCAGTACGAGTATTGATTATTTTTGCCAAGGGAATTATCAGTAGTTACTTGTAACATGTCCCTGACACTTCCCTGCAATCACTTATATGATATGATATCATATCATACCAAAAGTTTAACCAATTTCTAGGCTAAACCCCAATATCTTCGTGAAAATTTGAGATAAGCTACAAGTGAGGCTGATAGCTACATCCGTCACGTGAAACCTGATAAGAAAATTTGGTGAGCCTTCTTGTGTGTGCCCAGATACGACACGTGACTGACATATCTATCGGCCTCACTAATATGATAGGCTACCACTACTCGACTAGTTTCTCCCTACTACGTATGAGTAGAGAATCCACCCCATATAATAGATTAGTAATTCTCATGGGAGTGGTTATTGAAAATCCTTTTCTGGACAAATAACTCTAGCTACTGCAGATGTCACTCACCACATATGCAACGAGATATTCCCATAATAGTTCAACCCACATCATAATATCCTCCGAAGAGCGCACTTTCGACTCAGAGCGCACAAAACGAAAGTGTAAGTCGGAAATCAACAGACAACCACATCATCACCACCCTTCTCCCGATCTGGTGGCCTTTCTGCTAGGCCCCTCTTTTCGCCCACATTCGGGGTCATCTCCAGCACCTCCAAGACCTGGCTAAAATAAAAGGACAAGTCAATTGATCCTCGTTCCGAAGGGTTAAACCTACCGCCGGGGCGCCACATCGAACAGCCCAAGGCGCCTAAGCTCTGGCGGTACGGGTTTTCCGAGCGCCTTGGTATCTAAAGCATTGACCGAGCCGGGCCAGATCAGTTCTGGCATCCTCTGTGGGGTACGTATTATGATATCACAGCTTTCACCGTATTCACGACGAACTGGGTGGGTGACGAACGAGGATATTTAGTCAACAAAGAGGGAAATGGTCAAAGTAGGGTAATAAAAATTACTCGTCCCTGATGTGTCCGCCGCCGGGCCCCCAGTTTCGCCGTGGGTAATGTGAAGACTATTGATTGTGCAGTGCGTGCAACTGAAACCGAGGCCCGGGGCAGAGGTGGTTTAATACCGGAACAACACAACGTGCCTAAGGGTGGGCGTTCCATGAAACGGGGAATCAGTGGTACCGTACCGGTAAAGTCGCGTCGGGAGGCATGTCGGTCGTGTCGGCAGGAATGTCTGGAAGTGGGATACGCAGAGTGTTACCAGGGTTCATTGCGTGTTATTATAACCACCATCAGCAGATCTGCTCAAATAAAGCTTGGTTAAGGACTGTGCACGAGTACTTGTGTCTGGTAATTCGGGGACTCTTGTGCATATCCGCGTTCTAGATCAGCCCTTTAGCAACATACCCCCCCAACACCATTTGAGGTGGTTAGCGGCTCAGCGGCAACCAACCTGACCTCAGGCGGGAGGTATCATACTCGTACAGGAACTTCCCCCAGGGATCCGCAAAACACCGGCATATATCAAAAAAATCTATGCCTACAGGTATCCGTATACGAGCTGTTGGAAATTGAAGTAGACGGAGGAGATAAAACCAGTGGTTGTTGCAGAGATAATGATAGAAAGGAGGGTTTTAGGTAGTGGATGAAGATAGCTCTGATGAAGATGAAAGAGCTTCGTATTGTATGTGTAGACAATAGAGAGAAGAGAAGCGAGGAGAGTTTCGTACAGGAAGTAAGGAGTGGAGATGGTTAACTTCGGAGAAAGAGGGGAAAAAAGAAGGAAAAACATATGAAGGGTGTACTGTACTCGAGTAGGTATGAATGGTGTTTGACTCTTTCCAGCCAAGTGCGGGGCTACCGTACCTACACCCTACTTATAAGGCCACAGATGTCAAGCCCCATTTGAAACCCGACTGCCTCCCCGCCACACCCACTGTGACATGAATGGGTCTGAATGTTTCACCTTAGACTAACACAATACCGGTAGTATGATTCTTGAGTTCCAAGATCTGTGAGACACACAAGTATCATGCTCGCCAATCCCATGATATTGTTCCTGTGAACTCGAAAGTTCCCACAAGCTTCCACATCTGCTTCTGCAGGGGCTGGCTCACTACACTGTCTCGTTTGGTTGTGTTGCTGTGCTCGGTGCAATGCTTTGTTCAGTGTGGGGTTCTGTACGAGTACAGTATCGTACGAGTACTTGTACTCGGGAGTCTAACCGTGCCAAGGTTCCTACCGAACACTCACTGCCAAATCGCAACACTTCTCCGAAAAAAAAAAAAAAAAAGACCGTTCAACAAAGAAAAAAAAGTATTTAAAAATTGCTTCCATGAAACCTATGCAGCTTTTTAAAATAATCATGAAATCATGAGATCTCAATATGGGCTCAAAAATAAAATTTGCCTTGAGCCTAATCTGGCGTTGAGTTGTGCGGCGATTTACCAGTAGAACTGCGGGATGTTCCCCAATGGGCAGGAGCCTTGGCACGGTTACAGGGTCGGTAATGTGTTCGGTGCTTGCATGTTCTATTCGGTGAAATGTTTTCGCTACGATACCGGTACAAGTACGAGTAGGTCAAATTCTCCTTCCCCCGCTGATTGAACTCCTCATGCCGTTTTCCCCGAGCCCACACCCAGCAAGCGAGAAAGACAGGGTAATATTAGGATGTAGGCAAATTGTAGAGGCCATGTTAGATAAATGCATTTTTCTTTAAGTGCATTTATTGACAAATTAGTTAAACAATCAAATTATAACAGTAGGGAGAACAATTCATTGTCTTCACTACTTTTTACAACTCCCAGGATACAGGGTTCACTGTTTTGGTATCATGTGGGTGCGTTTCAGCAAAGACTGGGAAACTTCCTTTTTGGTGGTCTTGAGTTAGCGGCACTTTTATCATAGTTTACATAGCAACCACTTCCATGTTGAAAAGTTCTAAGTAGGTACGCATCATACCCGAGACGCCCGGAAAAAAATGGCCCCCGAGAAGATCCCTATCCCCCCGTGTTAGTCACGTTTGAAGAAATATACTTGAGAGATCAGTGCCTGGCTTCCAATTCAGCATCTCTATCAAAAGAAAACTCTCTCCAGGCTCCTGTTGAGAAATGGAAGGCTTGTGTTACGAGCTGGTCGCGTTCCTTCAGTCTTCATTAGGGGGCGCTCGCAGCTGGGCAGGTGGCGAACCTAGATCATTAAGGGTAAATTTCTTGTTACCCTACCTTGATGAATTCCCTTTTGGCCCCGCAAGATACCCCTATTCTTCACCCGCCTAGTTTCGTCGCGCCTAGTGAAAACTCTACCATAATACTTGTATGATACCACTTATTTTGACCAGAATCGACATCAACACCCCTGCTCCATGCTGATCTCTTATTCCCGGCCCTCGAACGAATCCCGGTACTCGAGTACCTGTAAAAGTTTTGGGTTACTCGAGTATCTCAAAAGTGCGCATCTCGTATTCGGTCTTGGCAGGGACGGCTCCAACCAATGGCTTCGATGTAGAAGAATCTCCTGTCTTAATATTCGTGTCACCGGAAATATTACTCTAGTAACCACTACCCGCATGGGGCGGGGCCAGGGAGGTCGGAACCTCCGATAATAAAGTCTCCGTAGAGGCCACCACTTGTTTTCTCTTCCTTAATCCCCTTCACGTCGCTCGTTTTCTCACGCTCCTTTTTCTCTTTACAGCGGGTTAACATTCGCTGCCCCCCATCTGTCAAAATGAGTGAATTGACGGTTGGTCAAGTGTCTGGTATAATCAATCTTTGTGTTGTTATAGGTGGGTGACATTTGGGAGCCTCAAGAATTGATGAGGAGCTGACCAGATGATTTAGTGCAACTTACACTCCCTCTTGCATTCGTCCTAATTCTTGTGGCATTTTTGGAAAATGAAAACAATGCCGTAACGTGGTATGAGACGCCTTTAATTTTTTTGATATCATCGGCGATTGAAGTCCTATTCACTATTCTATCCTAGGTCTGTTGTTGGGAGAGCGCTCCAGGCCTCAATGTGGCCTTCCATCCTCTCTGCCGATTCAGCAGCCAGCCGCGGAGTGCGCAAACGCGTTACCTTCATCACAACTCTCTCCACAGTAGCCTTGATAATTCTCGCAGTTGCCGGAGTCGTCACACCTCTTGGTCTGAATGAGGAGGTAACTCCCAGTTTCACTGAGCCGGTTGCCTTCGGGTACCTCAAAGACACCTCGACTTTTGGCCAGGGCACTGGCAGTCGTTCCGGATATGTATTCTCCCGCCTGTGCGGATGGATGATGTGGCAGAACTGCCCAGGGACATTCGCCGGATTCACTTACACCGCCAACAGGACGGGAATGTACCTCAATGGAACCGACGATGCATATCTGGACACAAAAGTCCCCCAGAATATCACCGAGATATTCAAGAGCGGTACCAGTGGGCGTGGCAATCTGATAAGCGGGCCATTTGACGTCCAGCATAGGCTCTTCATCAACGTCAAGGACTCGGATGTTAGAAACAACGCCAGTAAGAGAGTTCCAATGAACCAGGGTAAAGTGCACACCAAGGGGGTCGCCGCGACGCTCCGGAGCGTGATTCTTGACGACAACTTTGTGCTCGTAGAAGGATTAATCGTGGATGCCAAGAGCGGGGGAGTAGGTTTCCGGAACCATTCCGCCCCGGCAAACCTGCAATACGGCGGAACGTGGGAGGAGAGCCTTCTCTGGGTGGAGCCTGTTTCCCAATGTGTTGACAACAACTTTACTATTGACTTCACCATCAATGCCGACCGCAACGTAGACGACCTGCACTTGACCGATCACGGAGGATGGGTCAACCTTGTTCGCGACCGGCCTGATTTTGATCGCGCAGATTCCCAGCTGGATGTGCAGCTCTGGCAGCGTGCATATAAAGGAGCTTGGGTGACGAACATGATAGCAGCCTCGTTCCACAACGTCACCAGGAACATTACGAGCTTGGGGAAGAGCTATTCCCTTATGGGAGGGAACTCTAGGCTCGGCCTGAGCGGTTATAAGACCACAGCAATCGGGGTCGGAGATATGAATGGGAGCTGGATGAAGGGTAGCCGTAAAGGAATTGATACTTCAAAGAACTTTACCGCCGCAAGTAATTACCACCTCCCCCCTCCTCCTTTTGATAATATTTCTAACCCAAATGACAGACACCCTATGTATAGGTTCCGCGGGTGTTGACATGTCAAACATCACCAATGTCGCTGTAAAGTGCAGCACACTTCTCGGAGCTGCAAAGCGTGCTGATGGCGGTGACCCGGGCAAGATATACGACGTCGGGTCCCGTTGGTCCATCCCAATTTACACCTGCGCGACAGTGGTCAAAGCCTCCGTGAAGGTCGTAACTCTGACTATGAACGGCACGCACACCCTCGAGAACCTGCGCGTTGATAAAGTGGTGCCAAAGAACTACTCCTCGACATCGGCGATGCCGGTATGGGCCGTCGAAGACACAGGCATGAAGATCAACGACGTGGACCCCTTCTGGGGTATTGTGGACCCAAAATACAAAGATGCCCCGCACCTCTGGACCATCCAGCGCGAGCATCTGTGGTTGCCGTCTGTCGGTGATGGTGTTTCCGCACCACTCGACTCCTCCAGCTCGTTCGGGCTCCTGAGCGTTCCCGGCGCAGCGCTCGCAGAGATTAGCACTGAGGATGACTACTCTGGCGAACGCAACTTTGCCCTCCTGACCAAGTGGCGGAAGCTAAGCGCTACGCAGAACTCCACTGGATCCATACTGAACCTTATCTGGACCGACATCGTCGCGAATAACCTAGTCGGTACCAAGAGCGTGCCCTCCGCATACGGAGTCGCTGACGCAGGCGGCAGCTCCTCGGCCGGTATGCTCGTTGTGGAGACGTATAGCAAAAAAATCACTTATGACCTTCTATTCGCCATACCAGCTTTCATGATACTAGCGATGTGGGTTGCATCCCTGTTCATTGCTTTGCTAATGTGGATTGCATCGAGGGTCTCGCTGGCGGTTGTCCGAGAGTTGATCAACCAGACGAGCACCGGGAGGTCTATCACGAATCTGCTATACCCAGAAGCATGTGCGCACAGTGCTCCCACGAGGGTTTGGGTTAAAAATGCTGGGCGGAAGAAAATGGGCTTTGTGAGTCTACGTGAGAAGGGGGATGATGGTGACGGGAGTATTAGTGATGCCGGGACCCGGGAGGGCGGGGCGCAGAGGACGGGAACGGGACTCCGCTTTGGCGAGGTGGAGCAGAGCGGCTCTCAGGCGCCGGTTGGGAAGGTATTTAACGGGCACTTCGAAAAGCTCGGGTGACCCGGGAACCGACCCGTTGGCTGGGCTCTTTCTTGCTCTTCCCTCTCCCTCTCCTGGGTCGCCTATATTAATATCTCTTTATTCATTCCTTTCTTCACGCTCTTTAGGATTTATTTACGAAAATTAAGTTTAATCATCACAACTACGACTGGGGGGTCCCAATTTTCAATATAGATAGGTTTCGCGGGAGTAGGTGTTCGAGTGAGTCTCCATGACCCTGAGTAGAAAAGGGAACGGGAGCGGCGACAAATTCCTTCCCCCGGAATTGCTGGAACCGCGATAATTTATAGTTTTCATTAAAAAAATCGTATTTGTTAGCGACTTCGGCTCAGTGGTTTTATCGTGATGGCCTTCATGCTTATGGAATATCTAATATCCAAGATATGGACCCGTTGACCTCTATCTCAACATGATATCCCCAGAGTCTCGAGGAGCTACGAGCTCACTGTACTGTTCACAACGTGCCTAATCCCAAGCGCATTATATCGTAGAAGCTCGGCACTCGGTTCCCCCCCCCCGATACCGAACCCACAAATCCGCAAGCACAAGCCCCCGACCAAGGACCACAGGAGCTCTATCAACAGCAAATCACACCCTCTCCATCTCCGGATGATACGATATTCGGACTCCCTACTACTCGCGCAAAAACGAAAATCTTTGGCATCCTCATTCTTCGGTCCGAATCACTCGACCAACCCATTCCGCTCTATGGGCGCAAAGGGTGAGGCTGGGTGAGTGATCGCGTGTGAGTGAAGGAGGAGGGGGGGGGTTGGGTGATATGGATATGCGGGCAATTTCCCTATAATTATTAGAGTTGTGAAAGGCGCTAAAGAGTGCATGAAGGATCTTTTTTTTTTTTTTTGAAACAAAATGGAAAGGGAGTTTGTGGGTTCTCATGGATGTTGAAATTTCTGGAGCAATTCACTGATAGTTCCCGTTATTCCGGGGGCATTTTTTGCAGAGGCACGAACGCATTAACGTGATGGTTTTATTGCATATATCCACTGTTTGACCGATTGCGATGGGTGGTTTTTTTTTTTTTACGATATTTTACTTTTTCTGCTCTGTGGTGCAGATATAGGGTGCTTCTATCTGTTGCTGATAAATGTTGTGTCTCGTTGGTTGGTGGGGGCAGCATGGTTCTATCATAGGATAGATAGGGATTACCCCCAAGCTCGCAGGACGTATCGGAGGCACCTGCAAGAGTATCATATCATAAAAGGGAGAGAGATATGATATCATACAAAGTCCCCACAAAGATATAATCCAGGAGTGCTCTTCTGTGCGGTTCATGATATCATACCAAGGTTTCGGGGGGGTTATCAATACCCTACCGGCTCGGTGGAAAACCATGCCTCTTGATAACCTCTCTTTGTATCAGTCCCCATCATCTCCCATTACTTTTTTTAACGGATTGGACCTCCCGCTCGGTATCCACTCCTTTGTCGCTTTTCTTGTACTGTATGGTACAGTACTCTTCCCGCTGCGGTAGACCACACATGGTAAGTTGGCTTTGGAGGGGGGGGGTTCCAAACTGTCCCGGTTCCAAAACCCCTTCCAGAGGTGAATGAGGATCAGTACTCGTATGGTACCGTGACGAATTGTGTTACTGGCAAACGCGGGTCATCTCTCAATATTATCGAGCAGATAGCATTGGACGGCGGGGTGGTAGTCGGTCAGACATATCACAACATTTTGAAGTATCATAAATCACTCAAAAAGAAAAAAGGCAGTAAAAAAAAATAAAAAATAAAAAAAGTAATTGTTGAAATGTGGGAAAACCTCACTTGCCCTCCCCCTCCGACAATACTCGAGTACTCGAGAACGGTAGAGAATTAATCTAGTTATGACGATCTAATTGGTCTCTCGACGTATAGCGCAGTACCAGTATGATAGTGGCACCTTCGTACAAGGTGCGACCTCAATGAACGAAATCGACAACCTTTCCCGCTCAGAAGTCCGGCAAATCATTCATTCTCTCTCTTTTTTGTTTACTCGAGTAGCTAATTCATGGCACAAGAAATGCACTTTTTTTTACTTCCTGACACTTTCCCGTGCCGGTCCCCGAGAGTTCGACTGCAGTAGCTTCTCCCGATTGTACTCGTATATTCAGTAGCACGACGAACGACCACCGTTCTCTCATTTCAGGGGTGAATTCGGAGGTTCGGGGAGTTTTTTTTATTTTTTTTACCTCCTGATTTTGTTAACTTGAGGCGAGGTTTTTTGGGGGAAGAAGGTCGTGTACTATCTGCTTCCGTCTACTCGTACAATACCACTCTTCCTGGTTTGGAATGTAGACGCATGTTGGGCTATCGACGTCTAAACTCCTGGAGATGAATGTTGAGAAAGTGAAGGGACCCCCCCCTCCCCGCATCCCCCAATACAGTATCTCTTGCCCGGGGGTGTCAATGGAAATGGGGAAACACAAGGTTTGCCTCCGCAGAGATTTTGTGGGTTACAATTTAATCATGCGTGGTATTGTCCGCTGCAGAGAAGATGCACCCCCTACGAGCAACTTTCCAAGCAGGTGCGCTTAGTAATGATGGATCGATTGCGACAGAATTACGCGTTGGGTTGGCACGACAGATGCATCACCACCCACTCACCCACACCCCTCCTTTCCTTCGATTATTATTCCACGGTAGCGCAACGGATCCCATGCCGGCCCCAGAAAATGCCCGAAGCCCGATCTCTAATTACGGTACTCGAGTAGAAAAAATCGCCACAACGAACTCTGAGAAACAAATCGAATTATTATATCTACCCATAGAACCCTACCCGATGCAGGCGTCTCTTGGAGGAATGGATAAGTGGTTTTTTTTTCATTTCTAATCGGATAAATTCAGCTGGAGAAAGCGGTGGCAAGGGAAAAGTGCAAAATCTTGGTGAGAGCGAAAAAACATGTACCGGTACCAGTACGAGTACGAGTACTCGCACTTGTGCTCTAGTCCTGGACGTGCGTGAACCGGACGGCTATGGATTCTGGAGGCCTGACCGTGCTACAATACCTTCATAGGAAATTGAAGGATGGGTTCGGCATGGAAATTGCTCAAACTGGCAAAGAGTCTTTGTCCGCCGTCCGGTCATCCACGTCGATGCCCGAGTGCTCAGATATTCGCAAGGGGGGAATACCGTACCGTAATATTGATGGCGGAATTGGTCCGGCCTCTGGCCTGGGGCACTTCCAATAGCTTTGATGTTCGCGTTTCTTGCCAAGGAAACGTTCACCGTAGATTTCATCTTCCGCGGAGGGCCACAAGTACTCGAGTACTGTACTCGTACTCGTACTTGTAGAGCACAATTTTGCACCCCTACTTTTGCTCGAGCGGTTGTCGGGTGTGGAGGTTGGTGTTAGGATCCTACTCGTAGAGCTTCTTACCCTTCCTAGCATCAGCGTTCCTGCGGAAATTTAATTAAAATAAAAATAACTCTTTACCTCTGACGGTGTCGAGCGCCCCCGGACTCAAAACCTTTGTCCATCGCATCCCTAGAAAACCTCCATGCTCGCTAGAAATCGTTGCCGAGAGGAAATCTGAGCACCGAGGGTTACCCGGTGACGGATCCGAGGTGGCCCGACCACCCGGTCGGCATGTACGAGTAGCGACGAGACAAGAGCTCAACCATATCGCTGGGTTTCTCGTGCGGCGATTATAGTAATTGTCCCCCAAATTTCGCTAAATGCGCTTGACAGCATTTAGAAGATAGCCAGATGTCTGAACGCCATGACATCGTTTTCCTCCATTTTTTACCCGCCCCATCCATGCGTGGGGGGAAAGGTATTCGGACGCAAAAATCACAGTCATGATATGATTGGCACAGTACTCGTACGGTAGGGTACTGGCATTCCACACGCCTTCCAAGGCTTGTCGCGCTTTTTGGCGGGAGTGGGGGTCGGCTCCAAGAGGGAAAGAAGGGGTGATACAGCAATCCTGGGTCCCGGGCATAGGGCAGCGACCTTATCTGATGATCCAGACAAGGCGCGTTCCCCTTTCGGAGGGCGGTAGAGTACATGTGAGACATTGAATGGGAGCAGAGAGGAGGCGCACCGCCTAGAACAACGCAATTCATTGGATTGTGTATCATGTCCTCTTGGCCGGATTGTCGGTAACACTATGTGCTACACACGGGGAACTACATGTCTATCTACCCGTATATAAGAACAGAACAAGGGGCAATGCTCTACCGGTACCCCACAGACCTCCTCCCTCCCTCGCTTCCCCCTTCATCCACGAAGGGACAAACAATCATTCGGGATGCCCCAAAATCTGACCGGCCACAATCTTGCGGAACGGTCCGGGTGGCTGTCCCGGCTCACAATGTCGGTAACGCCGCGATGTACAAAGGGATTGATATCATTTTGGCTCGTCACAACCCTCACAGTACGGTACCCAACCCGGACACATGCTTGGTTAAGAGATAGCATCGTTATCAGTCTCGACAACCGAGCATTGACGAAATAAGCTGGCACCAATCATCACTTGAATCCCGCGCAGATAACATCGTGGCTGCACGTCAGCCCCCAAAGCGGTCGGAGATGCTCATTAAATCCCAAGTCCTGGGCTTTCCGCCGGTAGCCTCGTTCGTAGTTGGCCCCGTGCACTCTGGGCTGATAGTCTATGTACCGCTGCCGATGTGCCCGATAGGGGCCTTGCGATGGCTCTCCTGATGGGCCGGGGGGCCCAGCGGAATTGATAACGATTGCCAACTGAATGCGAGATTGGGGGGTATGATACCTGATCTGAGGCTATCAGGTGATGGAAGGGGAGGGATATGGTAGCTATCAGTTGTCCTATCAAGCTTACCCGCACTGGCCCACGCCGAGCCGAGCCTCAGCGCTATCTGTGTCTTGGGAATCGGAGGGCACACGGACCGCTAATCAAGGATGTAAGCGGTTTAGTCTGCACACCGGGAATGGCATCCAAGACAGACAAGGGGGAATGGAAATCCTCGGAAAGGGATTTTGCCGCCACCCCACAAGCACTCTAATTAAGCGCGATTTGGTTTTACGGGCAGCTAGAAGGATTTCATCCTCCGACGAGCGATTGCGATGCGTTGAAATCAAAGAGATGCCACATCTCATTTAGTTCACAATTTTTTACTTTCCCTCCTTTCTACATGGAGACTGCCCCGCTCGCCCAGTCGAACAGCGACGGTTATCGAGGGCCCACAAAAAGAAGCTGCAGATACGAGCAGATTTCGCACCTGATTGTCCGGGTTTCCTTCCAAAGCTTATCAGAAAAAACAATCAGGATGCCTGTCCCTTAAATGGGGAAGGTGGTTGTGAGAAAAAGTAATTTCCATACACCCCCCTTCAAACAAGGCCTTTGTACTCGAACAGGTACTAGCGGATTTAAAAACTATGATATCCGGGGGTCACCTTGGCGCTGAACATGGAGCAAGGGTGCCAAGGTGTTCGCATACCTTTCAAATCGGTTAGTATGTATCGATAACCTCCAGTGCGCCGATTGGTGCGGAAGAAAGAAAAATGTGGGAAAAAAAAAAAAAAAAAAAAAAAATTAGATTTCAAGCATCGCCTGGAAGAACTCTCCGCCCTGCTCTCAGCCCTTCCTTCCAATTTGGCCTATCCTGGACTCTGTACTTTACTGTACTAGTACTTCTCCCGGCGTTGTACGATACGGTATTTTTCTCCTTGCTTCCTCGCTGCTTAGGTCTCGATCACGCCTTCTACCGGCATCAGACCTTGACTCTTACGGTAGCTACAGGGTGCTGCAGACATCCCATACTGCCATTTCATGCCCCTGAAGGGCCTTGCTACTTCATCGGGTGGTTTAGACTTGCGGAAGCCCATCAGAAGGAGCCTTTTTACACCCCTCCCCCGCCCAGTAACCAGCTGACCCGAGATAGCGACACACTCGAGGGGAAAAAGGCCCCGGGAACGCAGCTCCGGAGAAAGTCTCCTTCCCATCCTACAATCCTCCTGTGAACCCGGTCTCCAAACCAACCGCACAAAACATGGCAGGCGTTACCTTTGGACCAGCCGATACCAGAAATAGCAGCCGTCCCTCTTCCCCTGGCGTCGGCGCGAGTGCGAATGGTCCAAGTAGTGGTGGTGGTGGTGGTCCTGGACGAAGAGATAAACTGGGGGAATCCTCGAGGCCTCTGAAAAGACGCTGTGTCAGTAATGCATGCATCGCTTGTCGGCGTCGCAAGTCAAAGGTTGGTTTGAATTGTCCTTCCTGTCTAGCCTCTCTTTCGCCCCTTTTTATCCCACCCTGCCCGCTCGCTTTGCCTTTTTCCTCAGAGATTTTTAACGGGTTGGAAAGTGTGATGGGAATACACCAGCTTGTGCGGCATGCGCGTCCGTCTACCACACCGAATGTGTCTACGATCCCAACTCGGATCATCGGCGAAAGGGGGTGTATAAGCAGGACATTGACAATCTGAAGACTCAAAATACCACATTGCACACTTTGGTCGAGGCGATTCTGAATTACCCCGAGGATAAGGTGTTTGATTTGGTCAAGCAAATTCGAACGTGTGACTCGCTTGAGGATCTTGTTGAGGGGATAATCGCGGAGCAGAATGCAAATGCAGACCCGGACGAGGCATCGCCGGATGGCACGGCGGCGAATGGGCACCAACGAGACGCGGAGACCGGTGGAGATCGGCCCATCAGTCTGGAGGCGGAACTCAGCGGGAAGATGGGTCGACTAAGGGTTGAGGATGGTCAAGTGAGATTTATTGGAGCAACGTCGAATCTGTTGTTCGTGACGCCAACATCATATTCAACGGAAGAGGACGAACAGAGTGAGATTGAAGGGAGAAACAAATCCGCGATTGGCAGGAGCATAGATATTGGTGAGAAAGACCCGATAACGACATGGACTACGGTGACACAGGACCCGGCATTGATAAATCATCTTGTCCGGATGTACTTCGCCTGGCACTACCCCTATTTTACAACTCTAAGCAAAGATCTATTCTACAAAGAGTTTCTCCAGGGGAAGAATCAATCCCGACCATCCGGTATAAAATACTGCACTTCACTCCTAGTGAATGCGATTCTAACCCTCGGTTGCCACTTTACGTGTGTTGTTGGATCTCGGGCGAACCACAATGACCCGGCTACAGCTGGAGATCACTTTTTCAAGGAAGCAAAGAGGATGATTCTTGAAAACGATGAGCACGAGGTTCCCCGGTTAACAACGGTACAGGCGCTAGCTCTGATGAGTGTTCGCGAGGCTGGTTGCGGAAGAGAGGCGAGGGGCTGGGTATACTCTGGGATGAGCTTTCGGATGGCGATGGATCTTGGGTTGCATCTTGACCCCAGTTCCTTGAAGGACGGGGTGGGTTTGGGATCGGGGATAAGCGACGAGGAGCTTGATGCTAGAAGGGTTACGTTCTGGGGGTGTTATCTGTTTGACAAGTGTGTACTCTCGTACCCGGGGAATGGGATTAGCTTAGCTGACGCAATGGCTAGATGCTGGAGCAATTACATGGGTCGTATGCCACAACTCCCATCGTCAATGGTTACTGTGCCAAAACCGGACGTATTCCCAAGTGAAGATTCGGACAATTGGCTTCCGTACACCGATTCGGGGGTCTCAACGATTAATCCGCAGCCCTCCCGGATCAGGGCGGTATCTTTACGGATATCAATGTTGTGTGAAATCAGCAACGACGTGCTCTTGAGCTTCTACGATTCAGCCCCTGGTTCGAATAGTGGCGTGGTGGAATTCGCCGCAACGACAATCAACCGTATTCAACAAGCGGGGAAGAATGGGGTCCAGGCTGAATTTAAGAAGCTCGGCGAGCTTTTTGCGAGATTGGAAGATTGGCGGAAGAAGCTTCCGACTGAACTTGAAGCTAAGGAAGGCAGCCTTCCGAGCGTACTTCTAATGCAGTAATTATCCCATCCCTCCTGATATATATGTCACTTAGGCGAGGAGCTGAAGTTTGCTAGCATGTTCCACCAAACATTGTACATTCACCTTTTCCGGCCGTTCCTGAAGTCATCTGCAGCGACGAATAGCACACTTTCCCATTTGGACCCCCGGAAGGCATGTCTTGCCGCAGCAACAATGATTTCGAAATATCTACGCTTTTACAAACGCCGATATGGTCTCCGGCAAATTTGTAATGTCGCTGGGTACTTTATCCACTCAGCTTGTACCGTACACCTTCTCAACCTTCAACAAAAGGCTGCCAAGCGGGATATCGTGCAGGGTCTGAAAAGCCTCGAGGAGATTGGAGAATGCTGGCTCGTTGCAAAGAGAGCGCTGGTTATTGTGGGGGTATTCGTCAAGCGGCGAGGAATCGAGCTACCAGAAGAAGCAGAGGGTGTTCTGAAACGGTGCTGGAAGGAAGGGAAACGCTTCGGTCTCGGTGCCCAGGTTGACAAAGTCCTCAGAGCCGCAACCACCATCAAACAAGGTCTTGAAGATCCAACGCCGCTGCCAAAGCCAGTAACGACAGCGCCAATTACTAGCACCAGTGTATCTGACTTAACCCAAGCTGCTCAGCTCACATCTTTACCCTCCCGCCCCCACCCATCAGCTTCCCCGCCCCTGCCGCACCGCAAATCATTCCCAGCACAATCCCCGCCTCTGCCGCCTCCACCGCCAATTCCCCAATCATCGCCCCAAGCCTTCCCGACCCGTTACTACCCCGACCATCCACAACTCACGTACTACACCTCCCCACCCTCGAACCCGCAATACCTTCCTACGACCGCCCCGTTATCCCCTAGCAGCTGTGCTTCCGCCGGGACCCCGGGGAGTGAACTCTTGCCGGAATTCGGCATTGACCAGGGGCTTTTGGACCAGTGCGAGAACTGGTGGTGGCGGGATACTACCGAACTTGCGAATGAGATGGCGGTTGACACGCCGGCTTGGCCTGGGGCTGGTGGGTCGGGCGCGGCGGTGCAGGGGACGGTGGGAGGGTTTGGCGGGCCGGGGGCAGGAGGGTTTGACGACGGGGAGGAGTGAAGCGCGAAGGAACGGAGAGAAGTAGGCAGTTGCGTTTCATATCCCAAAGGAGTGGGGAGGGAAAAGAGAGGGAAAGGGCGAGGGAGCAAAGGTGGTCATGCTGAGTGTACTGGATCTTGTGGTTTTGTATTGTGTTAGATGAAACTTTTTTGCTTAATGTCGATAAGTGTATTCTCAGCTTATTTATTCACGACGTGTCTAGCGTTTTTAATATTTTCTTCCAGGGTGATTTCTGATGGTTAACGTGCGCGGTCATGGAGTATCACTCGATGTTTGTTGAACTGGAATCGTGGAATAGAGAATGACCAGACTATACAGGTCAGGATTGGAGAGAACACTCTCAGTTGGCTACCTATTTACACCGAGGTATGATACCGCGCAAATAACCACCACATCCCCTCAGGCATCCGCAGGCCTAGCACTCACTCGTAACCGTCACCTTCTCGCTGAACGCCACCACTCACCAGACCTTCACCCACCTACTTACTACCCACCCGCGTGCAAACCAAGTGTCCAACGTAGCTACCATACACTGCTGGACCAAATTCGGGTCTGTCATTTGTTTAAAGAGTGATATGGGGAATTATACCACCTTATACTAGATAGAATGGGGGTCATATTACAGGATATGTAGAGAAAAAAATACGAGTCATACTTGTATAAAAATATGGTGAAAACCTTGAGAAATATTTTGGTAGGTAAACTGATGTTCGCTCAGGTATTCAATCATCAACTCATACCAGTAGTTTCAACATATACTGTCGGATTGATTAATGGGTATATGATGGTAGAGGTATTCCTGCTTTTCATAACATCTTTATTTTTTTTTTTTCAATACATTATAGCAGGGTTTTATATTTTTCTTACAGCATATATGATAAATCAAATTATATTGTAGAGTAATAGAGCATATGCTGTGGGATGAATTGAGGGGGGAAAATATGACAGCGCCTGTGTCTGATCCGGTGGTGTATCATACCCCGAACCTCGTCGCCCCTCCCCCTATTTTCCCGATCAGACTGAACCTTCCTTCCGCACGGGTATAATAGATCCTCCCTCCCTCCCCCTTTAATCATGCCCAGTCAATCCTTCAACCCCCGAAGCAATGTAGATCGACCGCGCAATACCACTCCCGGGGGCGAGCCTACTATGGCGGCTGACGGCGGGACGGATTCGACGCCGGCACATGCACCGTAATTTTTATCCGGGGGTGCTCGGCTGGATCTATCCATCCGCACCACCTGCCCGTTTTATTTGTTTATTTTACTCCGTTTGTGCGGTGTTATTCTTGAGCTTGGATGGGTGGAGAGTTTCGCTGCAGGGTTTGCCACTCTTGAGGATGAACTCCTTGGGTTTCGGCGGAGGGGGAATTGGTGCGCTCGGGCACTGAATGGTTGCTGCTGATACTGCGGGTGCGTGGTGGGGTGCGCTGGGTGTGGGATACTGCTATTTTCTTCTCGGGTCGCGGCGGTATTACTTGCCTGTACTGTATAGTCATTCTTTGCCGGCTTTGCTCCGGTTCCGTTTGTGGGGTTTGGTAGAACTCGGAGATATGGATGTTGGAATGGCAGTGATAATGTTGTAACTTGGGTTAGTTTTTCCACTGTGCGCATAAGAATCACGGATGAGCACTGGTGATGAAACGTCGATGTGTTCAGTGCCGGAGAATTTCATAATACCCGACCGAACTCTCCACCAAAACACACGCGTGTTGTGTGCCAGTATTCTATGCACAGTACAGTACTCCCCGCTTACCAAGAGGAATCCGAAAAAAACTCTTGATCAAAGTTAGGATCGGACCATACTTCACTCGCACTTGATTCCCATCGCGATTTGACCATTTACAGGAGGCGGGAGTGAGCTAGATCGGGAAATCTGGAAAGCTGGAAAGAGTTGAATTTGGATAAAGTATTGTCGGAGTTTCTGCCCAGTCGGTTTTGTATGTAGTCGGGCTAGAGGTCCGAACGATTCGCTTCATAGCCGTCGTTCTATGGTAGCACCTGCCGTGACCGTGAGTGCGGGAAATTCTGTGGTGACTTGTCTTATCCTATCCAGTCACGGTAAGTTGGCTAGTGGGGAGATTAAACACGAGGTTGCACGGGCTCTCAATGTTGGCAAGCTTGATAATCGCGAACATGATTGGCGCGATCTGGTCATGCTTTTGTTTTCTTCTTCTTCTTCGATACCTTCTCATAGCGTGCTCTATTAGTCAATGTAGTTTAGAGAGGACGGGTGGAGCTCGATGCATCGCTTACGAGAAAGCTGCACTGAGCCTGTTGTAAGCCAGCAGCTCGTCAAATAATTACCTGGTTAGCACGAGCTAAGAAGTATGATAGCTTCATGATTATTCGATCATTGACTTACAGTCCCCGTGAGTGTGCTGCTAAGTTAATACTTTCGCCCTGAGAAAAAAAAGTCAGGATGCCCTGTTGAGCCGCAATTGCCAAGGAAATTGATTTGTGGGATTGGCTGACTAAGAGGAGAAACTCGGTAAAGGCTTCGCGCCTGGTATTTGAGTAGGGTACCGTACTCGGGTAGCGGCTTCAGCTATCAGGCAGAATAGGGTGACGGGATACAGCTATAAGGGGGGGCTGGAAGGCATAAATCTCAGGGTATGATACTGTATGATCCTAAATTGGCGATTAGTTTCCACAGTACCGGTACAGTACCGGTTATAGTTTCTCATTACTCTGCCGGCCATAAGATCCCTTCCTTCTTTGGCCTCCTCCCAAGCTAACAGAAATCCTGTTGACCTCGCATCTATCCATCTATTACGGTACATACCCAATGATTTTGCCTGGTAGAAACCGGAAAAAGACGCTTGATACCTCATCCAACTCAGTCGTCACCCAGGTGGTCCTTGGTGTCCCTCGACCACCTTGGGCCCCAGTACGGTACCGTATTCCAACCTGGATCTGACAAATTACCTGCCATAGGGCATCCGACAATTCACCCGAGATAAGCCATCACATCCGAACTGGGGACCTGGGATCACAATGACAGGACTCTGCAATTGTTAAACCCAGGTCTAGTCTCGAACTGGTATGGTACCGTGTTACGTAGCACCGATACTTTCCCCTTGGCCAGGAGGAGTACAGTACTCGTATTGGGGATAACCCCCACACCCTATGCAACAGATACCGGTAGCACCGTACTGGGAGTACCGTATTGTGTGGGGTTTGTCCCCATCTGGCAGGGGTTCCGCACTGTGGAAGGTATGATATGCGGAGAATGTCTGAATCGATTGGGCCGGGAGAGAGGAGAAGAATACCGGTAAGTTGAGTTCTATCTGGACGGGTTTAATAGCCCGTCCCGAATCCCTCGAGCAAAAATGCACGATGGATTTGTCCGCGCTGAGAGCGGGTGGGCCGGCCGCCCTGAAGAAAAGGTCAGTGATAGGTGACTAGGCAACAGCAATATTTTTGGGCTGGGTCTTGCCTTTGTGCGCAAGCATTCAAGTGGGAGGGTTTGTCGAGACAATTGGTAGGGCTGGCTGTGCTCGGGCGCGTGCCAGCAGTGCACTGGTAGTACGGATAAGCGAGTGGTGAGTGTGATGTGCGAAGTTCATTGTGGGAACCACTGTATGATACTCGAGTATTGGACCTCGCCGAATTGAGAGAGAGATGCCATAACTCGTGCAACAGCTGGGCTCCGGCTAAACGAGGGAGTAAACAAGAGGTGGAGCCCTAGAACCTTTGACTACGAAATGCTGTTAATCATGAAGTTATACTGGTATGTCTCGCCGTACTCGAGTACCGGTAGAGTGTACTCGTACTGTTGAGTTTTGAGTTTAGGGAAAGATTTGTGCTGTGGTGCCAAAAGTCGTTCGGTGTTCGGCTGTTTCCCTGTGCTTGGATTATGGTGTATTATTTATTATCCAATGTGCGCAGGGGCATAGCGATGACAACCCCTCCTTTTTGCTGCTTATCAATGATATGCGCTGGAACCTTGGCTGCCTGAGGAACTCGAAAACCAGGGGCTCCTGTCGAGTACGAGTACTGTACCGGTATTCTGCGGGAATTCAGCCTCAAAACCTTAACCCCCTGAGTTGCTCTTGGGTACCTAAATCACCATCGCGACGCGACCCTCTCCTCTGCCTTCTATAACATCAGTGCTGTACAGTGCTTCGTTCTTCAGGACCCATGGTTGTGAAGACCGCGGATCAGCATATGCGAGAAAGCCGGTACCTATAGCTACCCTTTGATCTTGGGATGGCACTGACCTTACTAGTGGGGTTCCGCTAAGGCTCCTACGTCGACGTTCGAACATTTCGTCCGCGGATAAACGCAGCAACTTGACCCCCTCAGAAGAAACTGGTCCTCGCTTTAGGTTGATTAACGATAACGAAAAGCGGGGATGGTCGTATATTCCTGCACGACCGCTTGATCCCGAATCATCAATATCCGAGTCGGGGGAGGCGGATAAATATTCGTGCTTTGGTGACTCGGACGATGAGGAGGGGCACAAGCCAGCGGTACCTTGGTTTGGGCCGCAAAACAAGAGGACTGAGCAGAAAGGGGACAGGAATAATGACGGGGGGCATGGGTTGCGGCGCGTGGGGAGTATTGAAGTGTCCTCCGGTCGGAACGAGATGCGCACACCTCAACCTCGCCCGTTAAGAACATTACAGAGCATGAATGATCTGCGACCCGGAATGGTACAGGATAACATTGCGTCCATCTTTGAGACGCCGAGATTACAAAAGTCGCAAACATTTCCACGTTCGGAGCGTCCACAGCTGAGGGCAATGGCGAGGGCGCCCAGCCCCGTGCGCGAGCAGGATGAAACCGCACCGGAGAAATTTGATCACCAACAAGACTCCAAGTTTGATTCTTGTAAGTTGCAATCTTACTTTCGCGGTAGTTTTATAGAACATGTTGTTTGGCGCTCCAAGTCCCAGTGCGAGATCACGAAATGGGATCGAAGCGGGCTACTAGGACGTGGGACATTCGGAACCGTTTGGCTGGAAAAAGAGAGCCGGCGGGGGACGCTACGGGCACTAAAAGAAATGCGGAAGGATGTTATAGGACAAGACTATAACCGAGAGATACTTGCCTTAGTAAAACTGAAGAAAGTACGGTTCTGTTTAGTTGTTTTGGAACGGTGCGTGAGACTCGGCTAACCAGGGTTAGTATGACAAATACTTTGTCCAATTCTTCGGATGGTTCGAGGATCCCCAGTGTATATACCTTGCAATGGAGTATATCGCACTAGGTGACCTGGATCAATGTTTTCGAAAAAAGACATTCACAGAAGGACGAGCCAAGCTCTTGGCATGGCAATTACTGCAAGGGCTGGCCATCATGCACGAGAACGGGTTTACCCACCGAGACTTAAAGCCACAGGTTAGTGCCACACCCGCCAATCGAACTCGTAACTGACATCATCAGAATATTTTGCTGGTATCTTACTATCCCTTATGGGTGAAGATTGGAGATTTTGGCGTGACGAAACGCATCATTCACGACGAAACCGCACTCAGGACCAGTGTCTGGACTATGCACTACGGAGCTCCAGAAACGCTGGGCTTAACTGACGCCGAGACTTCAGAATACACCAACGCAGTTGACCTCTGGTCCCTAGGTTGTGTCCTGCATAAGGCCTTGACCAATACCACGCCCTTCACAAATATGAGGGCTTTTTCGGCATTTTGTCATCAACTCATCGTGTTTCCTTCCGCCAAGCTTTACGAGAGCGACGTTAGCCATTCGGGGATTGATTTTATCTTGAAACTTATGGCATTGGATCCGTCGTTGAGGCCAGCTGCAGAGGAAGCACTGAAGTTGGAGTGGTTCAAGCCCAAAAGGGTTGTCGCAGAGGCCGGGAATGGACCGGGAGCGGGATTTTCGGGGAAGAGCCCCAGGTCGCCGCCTACTACGCTGTTGCCCCAGCCGCCGCGATGGGTGTCTTGTAAGTGACCGATCCTGAATGAGCGTCCTTTCCTCTAGTTAACAATGTATAGCCCCAGCTGCCAGATGCAACTGCCAGAACTGCCTGCATTACTCTTGACGTGTCGCTTCGCTCAGGGACTTGAGTGCCTCGGCGGAGGATGGGCTTTCGAACTTTGACTACCATTCGAACCTTAGCTGACAGTTTTCTATTGATTTTGGATTCTTGCTGGTGTTTTCTTTTTTTTTTTCTTTCCGAAACTCCGCCAGAGAGGATGTGTAGGTGGTGTACGGTACTTACTTTTTACTTTCGCACTGTTTATTTTTGTACTGTTTCGTGTCTATATCGTTTTTGGGTGCGATGTTGTAGGATCGGTGGTGATGTACTTCAAGATTGATTCCAGGATATACGGGTCGGGAGGGATGAGGGCTATTGCTCAAAAGGTTGATCTCTCAATGAGAATAAAGGGAGAGCCCCACACTTTATACCATTGGCTAGAAAAAAGCTTACGACGCCTCCCGCGAAGTAAACTATCCCATCCGATCACCATGCTCGCGACACCTCGTCATGGCACGACCGCCGCATGTCCCCAATCGCATCAATAACCTGGCTATGTAATTATCGAGGTTCCTTTTCGAAAACTGAAATATCGGGCGATTATAGCTCGGGGGTCCACTTTAGCAGTGTTCCTAGGTGTAAGGGCGTCCAGGGCCGGGGAAAGCCGGAGGAAAAGGCTACAAAAAGCCAGGATTGACCCCCGTGGGCCGATACAGTCATTAAAGCGCTTCACCAATTGGCGGCACGTTTCCTATGTTATACTCTTGTGTAATTCATGGTCTCAGCGAACCAACCAACCACCACGAGTGAGATACTATGACCCATCGAAGCAGCTCCGGGACCTCACAGGCCCGACGGGAGCAGGAAATCGCAATGCCAGAGAAAACTATACCAGGAGGGTTGGAGCGGAAGTCGAGAGCTTATCACAAACCCGTCACTCATCGGCGTCATGCCTCATCCTGGGCGAGCGGAGCAATCCTATGCCCGCCGAAGACATCAGCGCCCTCCCGAAATCATGGATAAAAAAAATAAAAGCGCAAACTGCCCGAAGGGTGAGTCGAACACCCGATCTTCGCATTACGAGTGCGACGCCTTACCACTTGGCCATCCGGGCTTTTTGCCATTTTGAGCACTGTGAGAAAATATATTGTGGGGTTTTGCCGGTGCGAATCATGTTTTATCTGCTTGCGCGGGCTTGCTGGGCGTGTGTGTGTTTTGGGTGGTTCTGGCTCCCGATTTGGCACAGGCTGGTGCCTATCTTGATTTTCTTGACTTTGATTTTTGTGGCTGATTTGGTGCTGATTCTCGTTTTCGGGGATGGACGATGGCGGGTTTGTGGGTGGTTACCTTCCATTCTGGTTTACCAGGTGAGGTATTGCAGCGTTGCTGGGATCCGGTCTTGTCGTTTTGGGAAGCGCGGGTACTTTGCTTCGGGGTCCGAGTGAGTGTGTGTGACTCGCTGTGTATAGTGCACCGAGTGGAAAATTTTGTACATCTAACTTGTTGAGCTTCGTTGCTTGCGGGGTGGTATCATAGAACTTCTATAGGTCATTTGGGTATTCGCCAAACCTGGGTTTTCTTGATATACATACTCTTTCCATCGATCGTATATACTTAAGATACATTCAATTGCCCAGTCAGTATCGAATAGGAGGGTTACAAGGGGGACCGGTTATCCGCAATAAAGTTCCACTCGTTTTTGCGGATTGGGTAAGGGGTGCTTAACAGCTTATGAGAGGATAAGGAGGCGTAGGGGTTTTTGTTAGCAACGGGTGGGTAGCGTGTAAAGTGGATATACACAACTGATGAAGACACCTTCCGGAATTCTAAGTTCGGAGCAGCACTAGCATGGCTAGAGCCGGGGTCGTGCTGGACAGTCGGGCAAAAAAAATCACTCACTTATAGGGGGCCCGGTCGGAGAGGGAGACATACAAGTGTTGTTTAAGCAGGGACCGAAGCGGAGTTTACTTGGTTTCTCGAGCATTGGACCTCACTAGGTTAGCCGAAAGTACAATCGAGTATACCGGTGAGTCACGTCGGAATTCTGTGCCCTTAAGCTTGGGGTAGCTGTGGTTTTCGAAAGTTTGTTGCGTAATGGCTCTGATCGGGTGCTGGGTTTTATCCTTTATATCATACACACTACCGAAGTAAAGGGTTTTTTTATTTTTTTTATTTTTACTTTCCCCCATTTCTGTTATGATACTAGGTCTTTACTCATTTATTTCTTGGATGACATATCCTCACTTTTCCTCCGAAATGCCTGCCGGTACCTGATCCAGCTCTTGTACGTTCTCTCAGTGTTTGTCACCAAACCTGCTTGCGAAAAAACTCTCTTGTGTGTAATACAGGAGAGGAACCCATGCTACTTCCCCCATTCTCTGAGGGTTGCGCTGTTTATAGCCTCGCTTTGACAGCTTATGTATCTGGTCTAAATTCGCATTTTCAGGGAATGGTCGGATAACTTACAATCATGCTACCACTGCTAGGAATGGATAAACACTTCTCCTGCCGCCTTATATTATATGCGTGGGGGGTAGGGAAATTTAGAGCTATCACGGTATCGCTGCAATGAGAGATATGGGAGTTGTTTTCGCCGGGGTAGCCATGGCGAGGTTACTGCTTTTAGTAATTTCAGCTCAGAATATTTTGTGATATGAAGGTGGGAGACAGAAACCTGTTACATAATCCAGTTCACTTATCCTTCTAGGTAGTAGTTATCTCTTACGAGGAGTATCATTGAAGTTTCACGGCAAGGTTGAACATGGTTTAGAATATCCACTAATGTATTGAAAGTTCTCTGCGAGTACAATTTACACTCTAGTAGATTTTATGTGATAAGGAGAAGTAATGAACTTGAAAGCCTTACATAGTATGACGTGAACAGGGACAAACAAATGAACAATGTATGGCAAACAGGTAAAACTAAAAGTAGAACAGGAGACTGAGTAATTGAAAATAGGACTGAATATCTCATTAGCTTGTACACTAGCAAGTTATGGAAATAAGAGTGGTCTTACATATTACCACTTCAAAACCGGATCACCACCCTCAAGCTGGTTCCAGTGCCTGGTTTACTTATTGTGATCAGCCATGTTCTTTTCTGACTTAGTCCTACCAATATTGTTGGTGCGAACTTCTAACATGCTTCTGCCTCGTTCATTGCCTTCCATGGGATGGGACCCCCCAGCTTGAAGGGCAGAGTCGAAAGGAAGAAAGTTGCCGTAACATGGAAGATACTTCTCCCGTCTCCTACCAAAGCAATATTAGCAATTTCTCATAAATAAGGAATAGAGAGAAGTACTCATTGATGGCCTTTTGGAAGGCGGTGTCTTGAGTCTTATCGATTTTGTCAACATAAGAGATAGTAATCCAGGCGTCGTCATTGGAAACCTGGGTGGAAAGTTGCATAGTTATTTTCTGTACTACTCGATTGATTCCTCCTTCCTGGGCACAAAACTGGCCAATAAAAGAAAATCCAACAGGATTAGTGGAGGCTGTGCATGGGCAATGACACTCCCCATTGGGGTTTGCAGGGTAAATTGCTCCCGCTTTGGGGTTTCTTGTTCCAGGGTTAGAACCATGTGTGGTTTGACTGGAGGGGGCGGTGATGTCATCGGGTATGTTGTTAGACGTTTTTTTGTGGTTTGGATTGTGTTGTCCCTTGCCAGGGTGGGGAGGGAGTGGAAATGATTGGGTCCTCCTTTTATGGTGGGGACATTCAAAACGTTGACCAGTGGGCCTTGCAAAATGTAATGTTTTACATAAGCACTGTGAGGGCTATTTCACAGTAAATTCAAAGTGTGGAGGGCTATAGATTTTATTTGCACTTAGATTTAGTATTTGTGAATGTGATAATATGATAGATTTACCTGTTAAACCCAGAGGCAATATCTAAATACCAGCTAGGTCAAGGAAGAATAACCTTTTGCACTCAGATTGCTCTGGTGTTAGCTAAAATTAATATATGATACTTGACTGATAGTATTAGTAGGCTGGAGCCAGTGTTCCCAAGTGTCAGTCCGTCAGTCCTTTGCTGCAGGCCGGACGGACGCCAGTTCCTGGAACCCTGCACTGGACGCACCCCCATCCTGGGGTCTATCCTAGGCTCTGCACGGGATGACCGGCCGGGCCCTACAGGCATCTCGCATATATGATTTATTATGAATATGGTAATAGCCGGTTACCTACCTATTTCGCTTCCCTCTTAGTCGGGAAAAGCAAGTGTGATGTGAAAGCAAGTGTGAAGCCCCAGTTTTTTTTTTTTCCACCTCAAGAAATCACCCGTTCATGCAAAACAAACAACCCCACTGGTATTAGACAGTTCACGATTGACCCAGAGGTTAATGAATTTTACTTGAGACACAACTGTTAAGCTCTGGGCCCAGAACCACCAATTTTCATCTCTTTTCATTTGTTCTACCTGAACCCACTCTCATCACCTCAAAACAGCACTCTATTTTTCACAGCAATGGTAATACTTAGCTCTTTAGTCATCTTCCCCAGTTCTCCAGCTGTGCCTGTCAGTTTCCCAGCCTCTCCCGTTAGTGCCGACGAGGCCCCACCTTCTGATTTGCAGATACCGGACTCTATGAGCAAGCTTGAAATTTAGCACAGCTTAGATCATGCCATAGAATGGTTTAAAGAAGAGCTAAATGAAAAGGCAAGAACAGCAGCCATTATTTTCAATGTGAAAGTTTCATCAATCCAAATGCACTAACTTCGCCATTGATACCAAGAACAGAACTCTTGTGGTATCATCAATCACTATGGCAGCAATAATATAATCTTGATGGATGCTTAAGAAAAGGCAGCATTTCGCTTCTGTTTCGAACAATTAGAAATGGGTATAGAAGCATCTTCCTCCATCATTTACGCTGCCATTTACCACCTCAGATAGCAAGAAAAAACGAAGCCACCTTTGCAAGTCTGGTTTTGTCAATAGCTTAAAAAGAATCCAGACCTCTATAAGATTAAGTCAAAACCAATTGCCTGAGTTTGAGTTGCAATGCATAGTGAAGAAGATGTAAAAAGCATCTTTCTCAGGTATCAAGACACACTTTTGAAATATGGAATCCACTGTGCAAAGTACAAATATAATATAGACAAGTCTGGAGTAAGAGTTGGGAGTCCCACTGGGGAGACTGTTATTGTTCCTACTCAAGTCACAGAATTGTGTATGGCCAGTCCAGAGAACTGCAAGTCAGTTACTATTATTGAGACTATTTGTGCTAATGGACATTCTCCAATTCCATCTGTCATTATTTGTCCTGTTGAAAAGATAATGGAAACCTGGGTACAAGACAATCTCTCTGGTGCAGAAGTAATAACTGTCTCACAAACTGGATATATGAATGAGAATATTGCATTAGCCTTGGTTGATCACTTTATCAAGCATGTTGGCACTAGTCCTGAGGTGAAACATTGGTGTATTCTTCTGCTCGATGGCT